GAAAAATTTCTTACCGGGTAAAAGGAGGTATCTTTCAACGTATAACAAATTATGTTATAAAAAAAGGAGAGGAAATTAAAATCAAGTTGCAACAACGCCAGCAACTTAATGATCCCGAAATTTTAAAACTATTTTTGGAAGAACAACAAGTTAAATCTTTAAATAAACAAATAGAAGCTGTTAAAGAGAGAATAAAGGAAAATTCTGCAAAGCACGAGGAAGCCATAGAAAAATATGAAACGATATTACGTTCTTTAAAAACAGAATATGACGTATTAGTAACGAAATATAAGGAAGTTACTAAAAACGTAAAAGTGATGTGCCGAGTACGACCAAGAACGGCAGACGAAATAACACGAGCAAAACCGTAAATAAATATGTTTTATAGTTTCATATTTGTGAAATAGAGAAAATGTATTATTAATTTTCTCTGTTTTTAAACTCGCTTCTAATGACACTTTTCATTGCTTGTTACAGGTTGGGTGATATAATAATCACAGATTACGAAATCAAAATAAAAGCTGAAGATACAGTAAAATATAACAAATTTACATTTCATAAAATATTTACGCCGGAGGCCTCGCAAGAAGAAGTATTCAAAGAATTATTCTCCTTAGTGCAATTAGCTCTGGAAGGATATACAAATGTTTGCGTATTTGCTTATGGCCAGGCTAGTTCTGGCAAGACGTATACCATGGAAGGAAAATATGAAACTGAAGGCATGCTACCTAGAACAGTATGTTTTTATTTATATTTACAACATAATGCGCGCTATGAAATTGATAAATATGTTCCAGTTTACATTGTACATAAAAATGACAAAAAATTTTTGTTTTATCTATTTCTTTCTTTTTTCTAAGAAGATGTGTATAAAGAGTAATTATTTTATATACATATACATATATGTAATTAAATTATACTTTTATATAAGTATTTAATTGCAATTTGATCTTTTCAAATGAAAGAGAGGATCAGCTATTTGTACATAATTTCAGGTACGTTGTATTCTTGATAGAAAAAAGGAGCTTGAACTTAGTGGTTGGGAATACCGAGTAGAAGCAAGTTTTCTGGAAATTTATAATGAACGTATCATTGATCTTCTCAATCTCAAGCCTCAATCAAACAATAAGAAACACAAAATACGAATATTTGACAGTAGTGATCAAGATGCATATGTTAGCAATCTTCAGATTAAAAAAATACAAAGTCCAGAGGAGTTTAACGAGTATCTACGGATTGCACGTAGAAATTTAATTACGTAAGTTTATTTTAAATTATATTATAATTAAATTTTAATAGACAATTACAAGAAGCAAAACTTTATCTTTCCGAGAAATAATTTTTTATTTTCATATAATTAAAATAATTATTCATGTATAAAATAAATATTCATATAATTAAGATGCTTAAAAAATGAGTAATAATTATAAGAAAATGTCAAACAAATTATTCTTACTTCTTTAGTAGTTCTAGTGTTAACATACATATATAGAATTAACATATATAGAATTTAATTTAGAATATACAATAATTTGCATTCCAGATCATCTAAATCTCATTTAGTAGCAAGAATACGATTAATTGGAACACACTCTGCGAAACAAGAAGTGTTAGTAGGAAATCTAAACTTTGTAGATTTGGCTGGATCGATTAAAATAAAAGCCGAAGATAAGTTGAACAAGATTGAAATGACAGAAGTAATAAATATTAACAAATCTTTAGCCAGTCTTAGCAATGTAATTTTAGCGCTTCTAAAAAAACAAAAACATATTCCTTATAGAAATTCTAAATTGACACATGTACTTATGCCTACTTTGAGACGCAATTCGAAAATTTTGATGGTATTAAATATATCTCCACTATGCGAAAGTTACAATGAAACATTAAAATCGCTGAAATTCGTTAGTAACGCCATTAATTGCTGAAAAATTTTGCAGATTACGACTAATTGAATTTGGACGTGTTAAGTCTGATTATAAAAGTAGTGTCACGTTATATTTTTTAAGATGTTTTATTTTTATATGATTATAATGTCCTTAATTATCTGATTCTTTTACTTTTATTTTGTTTAAAATTTTACCTTTTTCGTATAAATCACTTATTATTATTTTTATTTCTTCTTCATCGGTTGATTTTTTTTCTTTTAATGTTCTATCACAATAAAGACTTGCCAAATAGTTCAGAAGTTTACTCTTACATTTGATTTGACAGAATTATTTTATAATTTATATGCGTTTTATTCGCTACTTCCTTCAATTCCTTGGAAATTTTATCAGGAAATGTTTAATGTTTCTTCGAACTTGCTGAATACCACTGTCTTGCTCATTTTGTATAACAGCTGTTTGTTTATGCATATCTAACCATTTACGTAATTCATTATACATTATTCATAATACAATAAGATCATTTTTATTACTATTATATTATTAGATATAAGTAAAATTTTGAAAACATAATATATAATTTAAGTTGTATTAAACTGATGTATTATTAATTCATAAATTACATATGTATATAACATTTTTCGAAAGTTTTCTCACAATTTATATTGTTATTAGGCCTGCCTCCGGACATTTAAACTGATATTTTTGCATGTTATGTAAAAGTAAAAACTTAAATTTTGAAAATACTATTTTGTATCTCTTTAATAATATTTAGCTTCCAAACGTGTATATGCATGAAATAAAGATAATATTCAGATATCAAGATATTTTGTTTCAAATTTGAATCCTCAAAAGTCTCCTTATTTTAGAATCTTAATTTGTATAGTTGCAATCTTATGACATGACAAGCATAATCTTATTGTCGACTTGCTCATAATTTCACATTCTTTTATATCAATATTCCGATCATAAATAAAAGAATTAATTATAATTTTATTATATTGTACGTACGTCGTCATTATAAAGCGATTCTTTACATAACTATTATAAATAAAAAAAGAAACTATAGCATTTTTTGATAAATATTTAAATAATTTCATTATTACGTAACTTGTATAAATGTTTTTTAGTTATATAAATGTCAATTCAAATTTATTTTAATTTAAGGGACGATATTTCTCTAACGGGAATTTGCAGGAAATATGTAAGGGTAAGAAGAATATTAGTATATATAAAAATTATTTACATAACTTTACAAAACTCACATTATTTTATTACTATTATTTTATTATATACTAGCTTTATATACATTGGAATTGTTAAGTAACAATTTGTGTATCAAACCTGAGTTGTCAATGAATAAAAACATTTTACGACTAGACAAGTAAATGTGTAAATTGGCATGAAGTATACATATAATTAGTAAAATTACATATCACAAATAATTAAAATTATTTAAATAATGAAAACAAAATTGGGTTAATGGTAATTAATATTTTCAAAATTATGTACTTGTACATTTATGTAAAAAAATTTCTAAATTTAGATTATGTAGTCATTTTTTACAAACGTACATGTTTCCACTTGTTTCGTTCCATCAGGACAAACTTTTTACAAAATAAGACTATACCATTGTAGCGTGCTATGAATTAATCTTATATCCAGAAATGAATGGAAGCCCAGTACCTACTTTCTCTTGATATTCAACATAGTCTTCGCCGAAGAAAATTAATAAATTTATTTCTTCAATCCGAATACGATTATGAAAGAAGTTCCACGATATCAATGTGTATGCAAAGAGGCATAGCGGATTTTGAAGTATTAACTGCAATAAGAATTTGTGAAATGTTAATTAACAATGTGATAAAAATGCAGAATCAAATGCTTGATCGTAAAAAAAAATCACAATATTTCACCTGCGTTCCTATCGACCAGTAAAACCATCCTACGTAACTAGGATGTCTGCAAACATTATATACACCGTGTCTAACGAGTTCGTGGTTGTCACTCTTCTCAGTTTGCACGATATGATTAAAATTGTGTTTTGCAGTGCACATTGCCAGTTTTCTTAGAACTTCGCCAAAAATGCACAGTATTAGACCAAAATAGGATACAGCGGAAGGCATTTTCATTCCAGGAAAGTAATGTCTCTCTATGAGAAACTCTATCCAACTGAGACCAGCTGCTACCCCATACATTATGCTATGATTGAGGATGAAACTGTCGATTGACAATGTAGCTGGATTTGACCATGCTATAGCCAGAAATTCCGAATAATGGAAACTCGCTAATACTATCATATAAATGCCAAGTATCTGCCACGATTGTAGGGCATTGATCGTTACTATGATACCAATCCCAAATAGATATCCAAGAAACAACGCTCTGATTGCTACCTATGAAAAAAAAGGAAACATTATCAGCTTATGCTTTATAGTTATACATAAGATATAACATAATATGACAGCAAGACTTACTTGATAAGCAAAACCACGAAATGCCAGCAACGCGAGTACATTTATGAGAACGTACTGTACCGCGTGTAGAAGCCAAATATTTGTAAAATATGTTACATAAATATTGAATCCTAACCTAAACTGCAGTTCGGGAAAAAGTGAGATTGAACACGCTGCGATAAAACAGAATAAACTGAGAACTCCATCGCGACACAGCATTTTCGATGAACTTTCCCTCACTGTTGTTGAAATGATAAGAGATAGTCAGAATAAATTTCACACATATCCGACCAAAGCGACTAATTTTTAATTATCCAATTGTTACTTGTAGCAATTTACGACTCGTATATTTCTCTTCATGACAAAAGTCTCAATTTTGTGCGCTTCATTGACAGTTCTAAGCAAAAGTCAATCAAATGTTATTGAATCAGAGACTGCCAGAGACTAGACCTGACTAGACCCCTCAGATCCCTAACCCTTGCGCCAACACTGCCGCGCCACGCCGCCGATAAGTTATCATCCACCGATTCCGCCGCCGCCGAAATTTCGCGAGCTCGAAAATTGAAATTTTCGCTGAAAGGTAAATTAGTTGGGCTAGCACCCTATCGCTTTCTCTTTTCTTTCTATCTCCTTCTTTGTCTCTTTTCTGTCTCTTTCTCTTTTTGTTTCTCTCGTTTTTGACAAAACTGGCGGAGCAATCAAAACTGGCTGTCTTATGGTCAGACTTTAATTCAAGGGTCTGTATCCACAATCATACTGGAATGAACACTTGTAAACGAGGTGAAAATGCGAGGCGAAAAATGAATAAATTTATTAGATTTTGACCAATTAAATCATAGATAAGGGAAAGGTACCAATACCCGAACATGTACCTATATCCGAACACCTTTATTATTTATAAGTATAACGCGAATTAGAATCAAAGATAAAAGTATTTTTTCTTGTAGTTTGAAACTTCAGTTATAATATCCAAACGTTTATTTTCATAAATTTATATTTTTTTAAAGGTATCCACAGACACAGATACGTGTTAGGTATTGGTACATTTCCTATGCTTAAGTGTTCGGGTATTGGTTCTCACCATGAGATTCTCAATTCTATTCCCAATTCTCAATTCCCAATTCTCAATTCCCAATTCCCAATTCCCAATTCTCAATTCCCAATTTCCAATTTTCAATTCCCAATTCCCAATTCCCAATTCCCAATTCCCAATTCCCAATTCCCAATTCTCAATTCTCAATTCCCAATTCCCAATTCTCAATTTCCAATTCCCAATTCTCAATTCTCAATTCTCAATTCTCAATTCCCAATTCTCAATTCTCTAAATTGATTTAAAATAAAAACATCTGATTGGTGGGTTCAGGGAAAAACTCCAGGCATCGGGGGCTGTGAGTGGCTGTGGTCAATCGCTGTGGTCAAACGGGACACTCCCTTCTGCTTACCAGCGCGAGTTCTGAGTTCTGATTGAATTCTGCTCTTCTGCTTTCTGCTATTCTGCCAAGGCAGTCAAGGTGTGAATGGCCGCGTTCAGCAGGCACAACTGTTGAGTTCGTCTTATCAACACTCTGCGTTAATTGGTTGGTTCTAAAAGTAAGAGCCAATCACGTTTGACTGCTACTGAGCGGCTTGGTCTGCTGAACGCCACCATTTTTTCCGAAGAGCGTGCAATGGTTCGTGGTTCTCGAAGGCAGCCTTGCTGACAGTTGCTGAACGCCGAAGTTAGCAATATGGAGTATGGACGTTTGTTGGAATTGAGTTGAATGTGCCTTGAGAATAATTTTAGTGATATTACATTTATATGTAATATACATGTATATTATATACAACGAATAATTTTACAATACACAATTGTGATCTGATAAATTTGTGAAATGGCAACAACGGAGAGCATCAAATATATTTACCACTTGCCCTTTGTTGAACGATCAGAATTTTGCAAAATTATGAACCAAAATGATAAGTGGGAGGAGCTGGCTGGTATGTCTCATCAGGAAATCCCCTTGGAAATACCCTTGATAAATATACCCTTGTCATATACTAACCTATTTGTTCATTACTAATTTATTCACTTCAATCATCTGCTTTATGATTTTACATTAGATATTGTATTTATCTCTTAATGTTGCACCAGTTTTGCTTAACAATAGCAAGCAACTGGATATGCAATAACTATTTATATGTGTTAAATGTTATGTATTATCTGTAATTATATTTTTTTATATTAATGTAACATTGGCAGGTACCTGGATGAAATATGATGTCTTAACGATACAAAGTTTAAGAAAGGAGAAAAATCCCACAGATGAGCTCTTGACACTATGGGGCCATCATAATCACACAACAGCAGAACTATTTGTGTTATTATCCAGAATGCAACACTATCAGTCAATGGTACCATTATTACCTTTCGTTGATCAGAAATTTCATCGGCTTTTGTACAACGGGGAAGGCAATTTGCAGAACATGCCGCGTAAGCAGTTGGTCAACAAGAACACTAAAGATTTGAAGATTGGCACACAGAATTTTAATCAACGCGTACTGCCGCAGCAAAGTGTTAATAAAATTTTAAATCAACCAACGGCGCAATTGGGTATTAGCCCGAGCAACTCCAATAATTTGTTAGTAGCTTCACCAGCAGCTGCTGCTTTTTTCTCTCCGCATAATATTGGCAGTAATGAGAAAAAGATTAACGAATCGCCACTGCCAAGAACAGAAACTACTTTGCCACACGCAAGTTATAGTGAACTAGCTATTGCCACAGATGGATGGAATCAGCACAACATATTGGGAAGAGGTGGTTTTGGAACAGTATACAGAGGTATATTATTTCATTTATTGACATGTAGATTGTCAAAAATAGATTATCAGATTGAGAAAATCTGATTTAAAAGATTCTTTATTTATTAAGTCACATTTATATACGTTACAGGCATCTGGAAAAATACTGATGTTGCAATAAAAAAAATCCGACAAAAGGGATCCGATTCGGATGAAAGTTACATATTGCAGCTGCAGCAATCATTGAAAGAAATTAAGATTTTGAATTCTCGTACCCATGAAAATATCTTGCCTCTATATGCATACAGTCTCGGCGGCGAAGCACCGTGCTTGGTTTATCAGCTGATGAAGAATGGGTCTTTGGAAGATAGGCTGCTATTAAGACAAAAGACTAAACCGTTAAAGTGGATGCAAAGACATGAAATTGCTAAAGGTACAGCACGCGGATTGCAATACTTGCACACCATCGGAGAAAAACCATTGATCCATGGTGATATTAAAAGCGCAAATATTTTGTTGGATAAAAATTTCGAGCCTAGGATTGGTGATTTTGGCTTGGCGCGGGAAGGTCCTGAAAGAGACAGTATGAAGGTAAGTAATTATTAATAAGTAAGTAAAAGATAAATAAAAATTTAACGTGAATGATTTTTTTATGCTCAAGTTGCTAGAAAACTACAAGATTTTTTCTTATATTTTATGATTATTTTAAAAGATTAAAACACTAAATGTGAAAATACATTTTATGGTATTACAATGGGCAATTGTTATGAAAAATTGTTGAAAGTAACTATTAATAATTATTAGATCAGCAGAATTCATGGAACTAGACCCTACCTGCCAGAAGAATTTTTACGTGACAAAAAATTGTCCACAAAAATAGACACTTATAGTTACGGCATAGTCTTATTCGAAATTGCAACTGGTCTTCGAGCTTATGACGATTCACGACCCGAAAAGAAATTGTTAGGAGATTTAATTGAAGCTTGGAAAGACAAAGACATTTCCTTATTGATGGACAAGAAAGGTGGTGAAGAGAACAAACAGGTTTATGGTAATTTAATATCCATAGGAAAATGGTGTTCTAAGAGATCGGCGCTAGATCGACCCGAAATGGAAATTGTATTTCAAACATTGAACGATTTATGAAATTCATAATCATTACATATATATTTTTAAGGCGAATATACTTACTTTATTTGCACATATAATGATGAGCATATTGTGATAAAAAGTGGATTTTATATACATACATATAGTCATATAGTGGATAACATATTGTAAATATATTGTTGTTATAAAACAATTATATTTCTTTATTATATATGTATATCATATATGTATATTATATGTTATATGTTAATCGGTGTTATATAATGACATTTTAATTTTATAAAATTGTATAAAAGGTTATAAATACTACACACTCATCTCATTATATTTTTATTCACTTAGAACATTCAAATAAATGGACTTATAATAATGGACTACTAACAACGTATAAATTGCCACATATTTGGTACAAAAAGTAAAATATTTTTATCATGCTTTACTTTTCTCGACTAACTTCGTAATATTTTATCGCTTATTGTAAAAGTGTACGTTAATACATCATTTTATATATGCAAAAAACAGTACGAATAAATTAACTTAGCATTACAGTATAAAAAGATTACGCAATAACATTCTTTTTTTAGCGGTTCATAGACTTAGCAGAAATATATAAAAAACTAAAACCACATACCCACACATTCAAACCTACTATATTATTTTGTCATCATCGATTACTTATTTATAATATCAATTTCATATCAAACAGACTACAGAAAAGGAATATATTTTTTCATCTGAATAAATCAAAATTAAATTTATTCATGATCTCATATGTCCTACAAGATTAAAGACAACAATCAATTCTCTGCTTTTTCGTAAAGTTTTTTTCTTGTTTAATCCAGTATCTGAAATTAATTATAAAACAATTAGTCAATTTCTTGTTACGTTTATAATTTGCACAACAACTGTCGTTCTATACTAAAAATAATAATAATATATCTTAGTAATATGAAACATTTCACGTGACGATAAATTAAATATGTTAACTGAAGGGTACATACTAAGTCATAAAAATTAAAAAATTGTATTAATTTAATATTCCTACATACCATCATTTACAATGCTATTATGTCATAATTACAACTTATATTTCTCACTTTAATTACACAATTAACATAGATGCATTTATCATTTGAACAATTCTTTAGCTGAGTATATTAAAATAATTAACTAAAGATATACACGATAAAAACATCCGAAAGCTTATCTAAATCTTTTCCGTGTTTGAAACTTACAGTTTAAATACTTGCATCGAGATATATAATATATATCGTAAATATGGTCAACATATCATCCGTTTATATGTACATTTTATTGTGCATTGCCTAAATTTCCTTCGCGCAATAATGATGATCTCGTGCAGTGTTCCGCCATTGTGTGATGTTGCGGGTAAAAAATTCATCCTAAAGAGAATAAGGCGATTCCATTGATTCGCTTCATTTCAAGATTGCTGCAGTGGACCGCGCACCGGTGATACATGTAAGTGTTCATAAAAAAGATCGCATCTCTTCCGTACTTCCACACTGATGCGCGAACATTCACTACGGCATCTAATTGTCTATCAAACAATCTGTCTTCGACGTGATTCTCTTGATCGTCGGTAAAATATTGATTGAGGTATATTGGCCATTACATAAGGGTATCCTCAAATCGGGATTACTCCTGTCCATTTCCTGCTCCTGTTGCTGTTGGTGATTGAGTATCCATACAATGGATATCAACGATAACACCGACGTCGTCACCCCGATAATACCGAGCACATACATCAACACCGTCTGTGCGATCGGTAATATTCGGAGTATTAACTTCAATAAAATCGTCAGATAGGTCGGCAGCGACAGAATGTACTGCAAAGAAGAGATTTCTGTTATCAAAAGCTGTCAATTATGAGCATGATGAGAAAAATGTTTAAAACGTGTATTTAAAAAATGCAGAACTTTTATATAAATCTTATGCAGTTTAAGAAAAACAATTTTTTTAAACGAATCGATAGAGAAATTCCATTTAATATAACATAGAATAAAACAAGAACTATCAAGTGCAACTAGAAAAAAATTTACATTTGGATATTACTAATAACTTCATAATTATTTCGCATTATTAATCCGCGTATTTGAAGTTGAGTAATATTTTTTACGTGAAAACATCGATGATAACGTTGCACGGCAAGTCGCGGCTAGTTATAGGTACAATAAAAGAAACAGATTGGGGAGAAAGTGGAGAGAGAGATATATATAGCATAGCTTTCACACAAGGAGATCTTTGTACGCTAGTTGCAGAGCTGCTGATTACTCACCAAATCGCTCCAAAATAAGGGTATCGCGAGGTCATCGAATACCGCAAGTTTCGAATTGTAGCGTGAGCGTTGCATTATCAGATTTGACTGCACCCTAGAGCGAAAGGATATGGGCACACCGATCGTCTGAAAAAATGCGAAAATAAGCTCGATTAGCTCGCGCTCAAGTATATGTACAAACGTTAGAAAATCGGAGAACGTCAGAATTTCTCTTTTTGCTCACGAGTGATTTTATTTTACTTCAAGAAAATAATTATTTAATCGTATTTTGGATAATAATTTAATTTTTTTTTTTACTTTTAAAAATACTTTTCGCTATAATTTACTCTGAAAACCTTATTGATCACGCTATGCTTTATTTTGTGAAAAAGCTTTCAATACTATGTAAAATTTGATATATATTAGAGTAGATTAATTAGAAAATCTAAGTTTCTTAAGCCTTGTGTCCACGATGCTAGAAATCGCTCCGAGATCTCGGACGGAGAAAGAATTAACCAATCGCATTGGTCAATTGCCGAATTATTTAAATATGATTGGTCAATTTTTTCTCGGTCCGAGATCTCGGAGCGATTTCTAGTATCGTGGACACAAAGGTTTAGAGAAATTCTCGATATACATCGACGGTTGCGTTTTCATGTCATCATTACATAGACGTTAGATAAGATCGAAATGGCAATGGATAATGGACCACTTTCAAACGTGTTCTTCGTACGCAATTCGGAGAAATTCTGTGGCGATTGAATAATCCATACGTAAGACTTATCTAATCCCAATTATACAAGAATGTAAGTAGCAGAAAATGTAAGTAATTGGTGAGTACTACATGTAAGTTTATCTACTGCAACTATATATATGATCTTCAATATTTGCCGCTGGTCAATAAACTCGTGCGAATTTTTCTCCAGCAACGTTTTTCTTGAAAAGAATGATTTTCACGATACATCGTTAAAAAATTAATGCAAAATTATGCTCTCAAATGTTTTGCAACTACTTTGAATTTTTAATATTATTTACTTGCTGCAGAATTGCGTAAGACCCATGCTTCTCAGGATCAGGCTTAAGACCCTCGATATTTTCCAGCAAACTCGGGTCGGCACCGAGGAAATGTGGGAGCGATACCGCCACCGGGATATCTAAACCAGGGAAATGAATTATTTATTAAGCTTGGCAATGGCGTTCGGATCTGTTTGAGGGATCGAGCGTATCTTCACGGCTATTGACATTGTGCGACAAAGCTATAATAATTTACCGCTGACTCAAGGCAAATGACCTGCAGTATGTAAGGCCACAACTCGCTGAGCGAGTTATAGCAATTACGCAATGGAACTGTACATAGAACGAAACGAAACGACGCGCGACGATTAGAGTTACAACTTCATAAGCGATGCTTTATCATAGTAAAACGATGTATAATTCGTATCTTATCAGTATGAATTACACAAAGATATTAAATCATTAATGTAGAGCCTATTTGCGTCAAAGTTGCGACCTACATAGACCATTAATTGGACCTACGAAATATTTCTTAATTATGTTGCTCAAACTCTTAAGAGTTTGTCAGGTCGCCGAATATTAATCTGATGTCAAAGTTCATAAATTCGTAATGACGGAGTCAATATGAAAAGTAAAAATTTGACCATTTTTTAATTTTAATATCCGCCATATCGGCTTCGTCATTTTAAATTTATCAACTTTGACATCAGAGATTGATGTTCAGAGAAATTCTTAAGTTTAAGTAACATAATTAAAGAATATCTTATAGATCCTTAATGGTCGCAACTTTGATCCAATAAACTTTAATCATCAATATATTTTTAATCGACACAATAAATTCTTTTTAAAGGCTGAAAGGCCTAATAACATAGTTAATTTTGATTGCAATAAAACTTTTCCAACACGTCATATATCATAGTCGTAATATGCCAAAATGTACTAAAATAGTTATTTTTCTAACTTTAACCGCAAATTTCTCAAAATTGTGACGTGATAGAACATTTTTAACAAACGGGATCGTATTCAGCGTCCAAAAAGCTGTGAGAAACGATTATTCTCGTTCTCGTGCTTTTTTTTTTGTTGAACAGTGTAATCTATATTACACGTTATTTCAACGCAATTTGATGAAATTATGATTTAGAAGAGAAATACTGGAGGAAAAGAAAGAAAAGAATCTCGTAAGGACGCGTAAAGCATTTCAAATTTGCCATCTTTCGCTTAGCTTGACAGTCTACGTACTGTAGTAGCACGGTGTTACGTCAGACAATCCTTTCTTCAGACACGTCTTCATTTTACGGCAATAGCATTCGTTATCTGGGTTCTGATCGGGCGGATCAGCGAAATCGTCCCTGAGGGTATAGAGATATCCTGGTAGGCCGTTATCCGCCCAAACTTCTTTTCTAAATTGAATCGGTAGCGGACGACAAAACGCTTTTCTGTAGACTCTAAAAGTGGCACGCTTGTCCATGTGCGATGGGTACACGATACCTTCCGTGGCGCCTCGAAGCCTATTACAAATTGTATTCCTAAAAGGAAAAACAAATATTATTTAGGTTTCTATTAAATTCATAAAAATAATATGAACATTAAATAACAGTTTTAATTTTATAGAAATAACAGGAACATTAAATAACAGTTTTATTTCATATATTTTAATACCGATACCGATTGATCAATATATAAATCTTAATACAGAGATTAACGTGATTCAAACGTATAAAATAAACTATATTTAATCGAAAATCTTAATTTATTCTCTATTTTTTTAAATCGCTTCTTAATTTTTTGTACAATTCCTTCAATCTTTACAAAATCGATCGTAATATAACTAATATATTTACACTGATTGCGAGATTAAACATCTAATCGTTATATCTTCTTTGTAAACAAAACAATCTTCTTTGTAATTTTATAAATAAGTAATTTTTTCTATATATCGAGACAAGTTGTAAAAAAACTTTTTCCCGATCATTAATGTAAAACATATAACATTATTTATGTATCGGAATTAAACTAACGACACTAACGTCATCGTTCACATTGCTGAGATTTGTTTGTAAAAGAATTAAAAATAAATTTGTCATTTTGACGAATTGAAGAATATTGGGAAATCATCGAGAAAAAAATTGCGACATCGCGAAAATACGCGGTAGAGTATTTTATCGGAATGCGCCGGCATTTCTAACACTTCTCGGAACAATATATATTCAGCTTCCGCGGTGTTATTTGCGTTTGCGTCAGTAGTTTACGCTCTCAAAGGTGTTTTAATTTACCACGTTTGTTTGATCTTTAACAAAAGCATCCGCAGATTTTTATGGATACTCTTAAAATGTCACTTAGCATCTTTCGATAGAATAAAAAAAAAAAACAACAACGTTGCTTCATACTCTATCTTCGTCGTGTATAACTCAGGAACTGCCGATTATAGTAAAGAATGACGGATAATTTTTTATACTCGAATACGATGAAACGTTTCAATAAAGCCTGTCGTTTGTTTTCGTCGTCTGTCAGTACAAACATCAAAACCACTTACTCTTTTCGCGTCTCATTGCCTTCCGTTTCGACGTATCCCCATTGCGACATTCCGGGGCTGCCGTTGTACAAATCGATGCTGAGATAACGCCCTTTCTCTTCCATCATGTTAGCCTTCTTTTCAATAAACATCGTCACGGTGTTCTCACCCTCGTCGTACATCTATCAATAATACAGATATAAGTTTCATTAAATTTATACTTTATACTAAAATTTTTTCAGTTTTTTTTTTATTATTGAAAGCTTTTCAAACACATTATTCCCTTCATAAATGACACGGTCTACCTATCTGTTCAATTATTGCGTAAAAAGTTGTTTATTTAATTCTGCATAAACATTACAATGTTTAAGTAAATCTAAATATTTGCGAAATGTTTATACACGCATTTCCATAATCAGTATACTAAAACTAAAGATAAAATATATTTACATTAATTTTTTCGGAACTGACAGGTCATTAAGGTTTTGTAGATTAAATTTATGGAATCCAGTAGCAGTAGATTGCGCAATTATGATAACGACATAACAGACTTTTAAGCAATTAGTAAATAATTTACATTTTTTATCGCTTTTACGAATTTTGCTTTTTTCTTTCTTCTTTTGCTGCCAGCATAATTGATGAATCAATTATTTAGTTGTACATTAATATATGCATGAAGAATAATTAATATATATGGATTAAGAATAATTTATCAGAATAATTTGTTGGTTTTACGATTGTAAAATATATAATTTTTCGTCACATTAAAGTAATAAATTTGCAAGATTTATTCCAAAGCTGATAAAATATAAAACAATGAAACACACGCATAAATGCGCTAAAATATTGAAATACAACAGTGGAGGGTTTGACACACGCATGAGAATAGCGCCAGTGAATAAAATTTCAAAATGCTAAAACGATTTATCGCGTTATACTAAATTTACGATTATTTATTTATCAGAGCACAAAGCAAGATTTTATAAGAAAAATTTATTATTTTTTAATGTGTTGTTATTAATATTATTATGATATATGTGTTTTGCAAAGTGCAATCAATTAAAAATTTGCATAACATGTTGCTCAAATTCTCCGATATAAATTCTGTTTCAAATATCACACACACACATACGTGATTTGATTTCCTTTTTTTTTTACGCACTCCCAAATAAGCAACAATCTTGTTAAATGTTGAACGCGCAATTTGAATTATTAATGCGATGGGGAAAAAGATATACGTGCGGAAATCATGCGTATCCCTTGGGACCATACAGTGCTTAAAGTCGTTAACACTAACCTCGTGAACCCTGAAACGAGCGTGTGTAAATAGTGAAAGGATCAGCGGCTCGTAATTGCGAAAAGCGACGGCAATTCAAGACACACGGGTCCGCGACACTGTTCCATTTTGCTTTCGCGCGTATACTGCCGGCGCTTAATCGCGATCGGGGTGCCATATAGATTATCAAATAACACTATCTGTTACACGTAATCTACAAGCGAAACGTGATAGGAATAAGGAGGCAAAATTCAAAACCTCTTTACTATAATTCCTATATATTTTTTATATATTTCTTATATATTTTTATATATTCTTTACTATATAATCGGCATAATATTATGTTAATAATATATGCCAAGAAAGGAAGCGATAAATGGAAAAATATATTATAAAATTGCCAAATTTGGGTAATGTTAAGAAAATTAGAGTGATGAAAATAGGCAGAGATTGAAATTATTGAAATATAATTATATAAAATATGATTGCAATTATGTAATTAAAATATTTTCTGCCTAGTTTTGAAATTACTCGCTAATTTATATAAAAACGATCATTTTGTATGTGCGACTTAACTTATATTTACACAAAAAAAAAAGAAAAAAAGAGGAAGAAAGAAGGGGAGGGAAGGAGAGAGAGAGAATTAGATAGCCAGTGTTACTAATAGTTAATCGTGCATAGAAAATGCGTGCGCTTGAGTGAATTTGCGTACGTGGATTTCAGGCAGAATATGTGGAAATTTATTTTCTTGTTACGAGCGAAATTTCGGTTGCTTTCGGATATAATTCCACTCAGAATTTCTTCAGGCACTGGAAAACAGAAAATGGCTCTGAAATATCACGGTGACGTTATTGACGCGAAGGTCAAGTTGTGCACTCTGAGAAACCGGTTTAATTCTTTTTGTGCCAAAACCTGAGTGTTCTCTTCCAATCTTTGACAATACGCAGCGTGATTGTAGGATGATCTTTAATCCGAACCGACCGGATGACGCAATCGCCGACGATTGAAATTCTTCATTGAACGTTTTTATTATTCAACATTATCGTTCTATGCGACATGCGACGAAATAAATCGTTGTAATAATGTTGTAAGTAGACGTATTTTTCCATTCAAAGGTCAGATATAATGACGAATGGTTGCTGACACGTTTTGCACAAGATCGCGCGTTGCATGTCCGACTGCAGAAATGCATGTGGATTTCAACCAGTTTGTCCACAATTTAGTAATTACGAATGAGCACTGGCGTTTGTGTATGACTTATTAAAAACCTTCCCCTAACACCCCTTCCCCTTTCCCTTGGATTTCACCCTGCGCCGCTGACACCTTCGGTCAATTTCAGCGGTACGTTTTTCAGCCGCTTCGTCAGCCGTACCGCTCGAGCTCGATGAAAGCAAAGCACACCGGCGAAGCTGTATAACTTCTGCGTCCGGTTCTGCCGAAGTGCGCCACGTTTTTATATACCTAATGATTAAATTCTATCGATAAGAACTAGGCCGCAATAAATTCATCGATTGACCAATAATGCACTCCAAACTGGTTAAATGATAAACTGTAAAGCGGTTTTTTTGTCGCCGCCGGATAAATACACGCCGAAGCGCATTCTCCTTCTGGATTTCTAGACTTCCTAACGCTTGGGAAATACGGATAATTGATGACCGAAGAAATTTAATAATATGGCAAAAGTCAACTTTATACATATTGCTGGAAATAAATTTGAATAGATTCAGTAGATATAAAAAAAGTATTGAAGAGTCATTGCTTGATGTTATAAATGAGTAAGTAATAATTTCCCACAATTTATTTATGTCATACAGAATACAAGAGACGGTTTAATTCAACCCGACGTGCTATTTATTAATATAATACTCAAACATACAACGTTTCGACTATTATGGTTTGCTAATGACCGCAAACTTCTTTATCAAGTGTAAACTAAATATATCAAATTTAAAACGTGGCTATTCTACGAAACATCTTAATAAAACTGATAATAAAACGAAAATTATTTAAATTACATGTTGCGTAATTTAAAATATTTTCTTTTTATTATCAGCATTTCTAATTAAGATATTTCGTAGAATAGCCACATTTTAAATTTATGACTTAGTTTACACTTGATAAGGACCACAAACTATGGTCGTTATGTGTTTAAGTATTATATTAATAAATGGCTAGTTGGGTCGAATTAAACTGTCTCCTGTGTTAATTATTGCTGGCAAAGAAAAAAAATTATCTCTAGTTTCATATAAAATATATCAAATGTATTAAATGTTCCTACAAATCTTATTATCTCATTCACACACAACACACACACACATATAAGATAACAAAGAGAAAATTGAAGATAATGCTTTTGTTCGAGAATATACCTATCTCGTTAATGATGAATATTTTATCTCTTTTTTCCCTATTGCAACGTACTTTGCAATAAGTCTATGATTTTGCGTCATAGGTACAAATATATATCTAAGTTAAATTATCTAATTTACGTCACAAGATTAAGCTGGATCATTAAGCAATTGGCGATTAATCTGATAAATATGTTTTTAAATAATGAAAAATCATTTTTTAATAATATCTATGCATTTCAGTGCATGATTCCTTGAGATATAAGAGATGTAATATTTACTCACCCTATCCAAGAGACCGAATTTTTGGAAGTTGATAAAATTCGGCACGATTCCACTGGCCAATTTTACCATTGAATCCTCGTAGCCCCATAGATAATCGTACACCGAAATATTGAGGATCGATTTCACATTCATTATATTAGTCAGTTGTACAAAGGGATAGTTCACCATAAATCCGGCATTACTCAAAGCGGATGTGGCGCCCTGCGTATCAGAGTATTTTTTGCGTAAATATCTTACAAAATTATTCGAAGTAATCCTAAATATTAAATTAGATTAATCACAAAATTCAGAGTAAATGTAATTTCTTTCAATAAAAATAATATACGAAGCTTGAAGGCTCAGAATTGAATTTTATCTTATGAATCACTGCGCTAACGAAGTAACAGAACAACTTCTTGCTTTACGTTTAGATCACATTCTTTTCGTGTCATTTGTAACAAAGTAAGTCTTAGAAATAATGATAAGAAGAATATCGACAATAATTGGTATTAATATATAGATAAAATATGGAATTATGCATGAGTTGTTTTTCTGATAAAGATTGTTTAACAGATTCAATGAATAATATATTAACATAAGGTCATAAAGTAATGCCAAGAACTGCGTCTAGATAGAAATTGATTATGTGTGTCTGTAAAAAACAAAATGGGTATTATCAATCTTGTTTGCGAAGATTGAGTACAGACATTTGACTTTATTATCGATTAAAGCTTTTACGTTATCGATTTAACTACAAATAAAATTATTATTTCAAGAGACACGGTAGTGTCTCGTGCCATCAAGTACACGCGCAACGCGAGACCGCCGTATATATTAATAACGCAAGTTAAAATATTACATAAAAATGTCAATCTTCAGAAATTGTTAAAAATACAAATATTAATAACAATTATAGATTTAAGGGTCCATATATCCCTCAGTAGGTCCAAAAAAAAAAGTGATTTTTGTGAATTTTTTGTGGAGAAAGTAAACAAAATAAATCATTCAATATTTTTGGATTATATTTATGATACTTTTAAGTAGTTATAAAAATTTTTTCAGCCCATTTGGCGAAGCGGGATACTGGGCAACGGCGACCTGTGCGCGGAATATGTTGCTCCATGGCGGAAGTCCTCCAGGTCGTAAAATGTTTCTGAAACATCGAATCAATCGATTTTCCTGTTCAGTACAAGTGTCCCTATAGAGTAGACTACAATCATATCGATATATGCAATATTTAATTTTTTATAAGCAAAAAAGTATCGAAAATTTATAGTAAAAATTAATTTATTTTTTGAACTGCCGTTATTTTATGAATTTTTATGCATTTTTTTTAGTCTACTCTATAGGGACACTTGTACTGAACAGGAAAATCGATTGATTCGATGTTTCAGACACATTTTACGACCTGGAGGACTTCCGCCATGGAGCAACCTATTCCGCGCGTTGTCCAGTAAGGTAAAGGTACCAATACCCGGACACGTATCTGTGTCTGGATACCTTTAAAAAAATATAAATTTATGAAAATAAACGTTTGGATATTATAACTGAAGTTTCAAACTACAAGAAAAAATACTTTTATCTTTGATTTTAATTCGCGTTATAGTTATAAATAATAAAGGTGTCCGGATATAGGTACATGTCCGGGTATCGGTACCTTTACCTTATCTCGCTTCGCCAAATTATTTAAATGGGCTGAAAAAATGTGTATAACTACTTAAAAGTATCATAAATATAATCGAAAAATATTGAATGATTTATTTTGTTCACTTTCTCCACAAAAAATTCACAAAAATCACCTATTTTTTAGACCTACTGAGGTATATGGACCCTTAAATCGTGGATTGGATTTTTTCGACAAAAACAAAAATTTAAACAAAAGGACATGCTTTTTCTGCATGCCTTGCTTTAAAATAAATAATTTTGCTTTCGTTATTATTTTTTTTTACCACAAATATATACTTTAATTTTATTCATATGAATAAACAAACTCGTGTTAACAAAAAATCCTTTAAAAATAGAACATTCAAGGTGAACGTTTCAAATGAGGAATATTCCATGACAAAAAGTAACTTAGCAAACATATAAGCTTTATATAAGCTTCGTGCGTAGGCTTTCAATTAATGCATATAAAAATTGTAAACAACAAGAATTACAAAGTTAAATTACTAACTAATAAATTATAGGTAATAATTAATCATTAGTTCATGTTGCAATGGAAAAATGCGTAATACAATATCGAAATTGTAAATAACATTCTAAGAATATTATTGCTAAAATAGATTTATCCGACAATCGAGTAATGCATAAAATCTGTCAGCGAAAAAACACTGGCAGCGTTAAATACTTAACTACTTATTATTTCGCAGACAGACAGAAGGAATTGTGCAGTCACAATTAAATCAAAGGCATATCTCAATTTACATAGAATTTAAATCATATAATTAAATATGTTATTCTGAAACGAGAAAATTATAGGAACATTTTTTCCTTTTCCTTTTAGTCTAAAGATATGTTAATACAAAACCAAGTTTGCTCCAAATGATTAAAAATATATCGTAACGTTAAATTTGAGCTTTACAATTCTTTAAAATAATGTTAGAGATTAACATTTTAGTGATATCACAGTTAAAATAATTAATGTGTTTTCTATTATTCTTCTCAATACTGAATAAAAGATGAGCAAATTATTTTTTAGTGAGCTCTTATGTTTTTTTTCATTATTGCTATGTGATAATTAAGCTACACTATACTGGCAATAACTCAAAAATGTTGACAAATGTTTCACAAATTTCGACTGTCGCAATTTACTGGGAGGTTTTATTATCGAATTAATCTCTAGTATCGATGTAATAAATTAATAATAATTTATTGCATCGATTTATTATATCGATTGATAATTAACAATTAATTTACTTACCAAGAAAGGTATATTCGGGACGTGGACTATATCTTTCATAGGATCTCTGGTCGACAGTTCGGGAACATAAACTACCGTTCTTCTGGGAATGTAAGTCATTGTGCCGTTATCATTATACGTAATGTTATCGTTTACAAGAAATTCTCTGAAAATGCATAGAATATTTGCAATATACGCTTGTTGTTCTAGAAGAATTATTTACGCATAAAGCACTTACAATTAGGTAATAGTACATATATATAATATTTTATTTGCAATACGTCCGCATGATATCTTATAATAATAATAATAAGAAAATATGAAACATGACTTACTGATATACATATGGCCCAAGTTCTTCAAATTTGAGCTTCTCTTTGCCACTTAGAAATTCTACTGGATTGGTAATGTTAAATACATATACGTTTAAATAAATATTAAGAGGTGGTTGCTGCCATATTGAGAAAAGCAATGAGTGCGGCTTCAATTGTAAATTCTGTAAAAATAATATATTGTTTTCATCAATATATTTTATTCAATATATTTTACATCGGAATATATATCACCTGGCACTTTGCAATTTGTAAAATGGGAAAAATTAATAATCGTTTTGCCAGAAGGCTTTTATAATGATTAACTGGCTTATTATTCAAAATTAATAGAGAATAATTTAGTACCATAAAAACTGCTTACGTTCTCTAAAATAATTGACATTGTCATTTCAGTCTAAAGAACAAAGTTATTTTATTCAAACTAACAAAATGGAACATTTTAAATATATTTCCCTAATTAAAATCCTTTTCTGTAAATTTTTTATTTCTTTATTTGCTTTTTTAAATTGGTTTCTGCATTTTTCATTATTTATACATAAGAGAAAAAGAACACTCTTGATTTGAAAATATCTTTCAACGTGGAAATCTTGAAATGAGATTATATCGCGAAAGAAATTTGGTTGAAGTCATTATATAGTTCAACTAAGAAAAAAATAAATAATTGAAATAAAAATTTGAAATTCTTATAAGAAGATTATAGTGATTTTGCTTATATGCGAAACAATCTATATTTTCTTATGAGAATTTCAACTTTTTATTTCAAGATTTTTTTCTTGTTAGTTGAACTATATAACGACGTCATTCAAGCAAGTTTTCTTCAAGCAAGTTTAACGCAATAATGCAATCTCTTCAGGATTTCCACGTTGAGAAACTAAAGATATTTTTAAATCAAGAATATTCTTTTTTTGTGTGTAAATACTTACATATTCCAATATCATGGACGTGGGATCGGTGATGTAAATCATATATGTCATGGAGCTACATCCGATGCCTATCATAAATAAGATGATGCATTCTATAAAAAGAAGAGATTTTTTGTCTTAACGAATGATTGTAATTTATTACATTTTTATGCTATACACGCACATTATTTTACGCATTACGAAGAATGTCTGATTAACTTTTGCGTATAATCGATTTCCTAGAGGTAATATACATATAAAAGCTTTTTTCTCCTAATATACAATATTTCGTTTGCATGAGATACGATAAGATATCAAAATAACTGTCATGCATTATACAGCTAATTATATATCTTGCAAATGCGCATGAATAATTAAAATCCGTTCTATTATCTCGTTCTACACTATCACGTTCTATTAAAAAACTTTTACATTTTTCACCTTCGTTGTTATATATCTAATATAAACATGAGCAAAATCTGCAATTATGTAGATCATGAATTATTTACAATCGGTTCTGCTTTTTTAAAAAATCGATCAACGGGAATATGACGTTTCACAAACGCGCCTTATCACATCTATTAATTCATGACGGTGAAATGATCATGTGCATTTACAATAGTTACTTTGCTGCTATGCAAAACAATAACGTAACACGTCGCGTGTTAATGTATATCAATAATGTATAATTCACACCGATATGATTATTGGTCAATTCAATTGTGCAAGTGAATTATTAGTGAACCGTAATGCGTGATAATTTTTTATACTGATAAATTAAACGTAAGGCGAGTAAAAAAAAAATATCTGAATTGTAATGGCTTTTTGACGACACTTTTCCTTTCGCGTCAACCATTCGGCGATTATTCATTCCTAAACGCGGACTATGAGCTCCTCGATCAAATAACTTAGCGTGAAGTAAACACTTAAAACGCCTCCATTATCGTGTACAACTGGGTTTTTTTTTTATATACAAACCGACAAATGCTGGATGAGTCATGAAAAAATATTGAACGAAGAAATACATCTCCGACAAATCTCTGTTTACCACTTCGCGCTTCTAGTAACGTGTCAAAAAACCGATACCGTTCGACACATATTTGCCTACCATTCACCTTCGACTTCGCCCAATATCGCGTGAAGGCGTGAATTCGAGCGGAATTCGGCTCGCGATACCGTCATTCCTCACGTGCGTGTCGTTGTGTGCGTAATAATGTGTATCGCACGACTCATTGACCACACGCGAGATCCTTTCATACTTTAAGACCGGCGATTTGTCAATAGCGTTCAATGTCCTAGACCGTTCAAGAAATCCCCTGGAAGTAAATTCCCGGAACCGTTCGTGCATATCGAGGAAAAAACTAGACAGTGAAATATGAGGACTTGTTAAATAGATATCGTTCATCTTTTTGGACTATGAGAATAAGTAAAAAAAAGTGAGCTTTGAGAGCTCACGGACAGGTTGACAGTACGTAAGTCATACGTCGATGTAATTATACACGTACTGTCAATCGCGTGCCACTCTACAGCTCACTTTTTTTTTACTTGTTGCTTCTTAGTTTTGTTTTTAAAATTATAGCCCGGAGAGATGGATGATATCTATTTAACGAGTCTTTTCACTTGTTAATTTTATCATCGAGAATCCCTAGTTATTTATTCATTTATTGTAAATTAAGAAGACTATATTTTAATCATTAGTATAAAGAAAACTTAATCCGCCAGTGGTTAAAACAAAATCAATTATTTATTACTCGACTACCTGGCTTAAATTATATATAAGTGCACAACGTTTCGGCTAACGGTTAGAGCCCTTATCAAGTGCCGTCTCAAATATGAACATCGCGATGTAACACAAAAAAAAATATATAAATTAGTCATAAAAACAGAGAGCGTTACCTAGTCGTCAATAAGACTCGTCATATATTAGTCAAGACCTCCTTTCGTTCATGGGAATGTCCCAGCATAATCACAAAGCGCAAAGTGTCTTGAATATAAAAATTCCACCAACAAGCATCTTGAGTTTGAGACTCTCCGATAAGCGATGTTATGCGAGTGGAAGAACTCGGGAGACAGAGTTAATCATTAGTGTTTTATAGTGCGCTATTACAGGGTATTCGAAAAATACAAATAGTTCGGCAGACAGTTGCGTGGAAAGATTAAAATGGGACACCCTGTATATGGCGCTATAATACTAAAATATAGTCTTCTTAATTTACGATAAATAAATAAATAACTAGAGACTCTCAATAATAAAATTAATAATTTCTTTATAAATGTTTTTATAAATTCTGAAATGGTTACGTGGCTAGCTATTTTTGGAATCACCGCGTAAATATTATTGTGTGGTCTCAGTTGTAACGTATTTATCACCGTTATTTTCATTCTTATTTAGATCAACTACGGAAAGAATTTGAATTTACTGTTATGCTTAAACGAAATGTGTTCAATGGTTAATTATAATACCCAGGAAGATCTTACAAAGTCATATCGTGTATCCATTAAGCAACGAATGTCGTCAACGATCCGCAGGGTCGTATGTACAAGTACATCAGCGCGCATCACAAATATCCTCTCATTCTTATCTTTCCGAGAATCATATTTGAAAACATGTCTAATTTACAAATCTATAGACTACACACTTCTTGAACTTTGAAATACTATCCATACCGAATTTCCGGCGTTTTACGTTTTACGTTTATCTTCTAGAATTGACCATTACTTCGGTAAATAAAACAGATAAATTGTGAGATGTTTAGATAATTTTCCCTGAAATTCTAAATAGAAAAATTCAAAACTTAAGAAAAAAATTACTTTTCAAATAAAATAAAAAAAACATTTTGTTCTTGAAGCAATTGTTAAATATATTCTGCACGTGCGTAAAGAAATTGCTGTTTATAATAATGCCGCTTGAAATTAATGACAAGAAAATTTAATCGAGTAATTGGGAGAGATAAATTGAACGACACAAAGTCATAAAACATATCAAGAACGATAACCTCGGAATGAACCTTGAAAGAGACGTTGCCGGGAAAAAGAATTCGCAAGAATTAAAAAAAAAAAATTATACACGTGTATAATTGTTGCTACAAATAGCAGTTGTATTTAAAATGAAACGTAAATATGTAATACATTTTATTCTCCTCTAAACAAACGTCGTTTTATCATACAATTTTTCTCCTTTGCTATACTTTCCTAGTGTCTTTGACATAAATTAATTATTAAATATAGATTACACCTTGAAACAACACCTGATAGCAGCTTACCTTGACTTGAATTGTGCGTTATCTGTAGTAAAAAGAGAGCTCAATCAAGGTCACTCGATCAGGTTCTCATTTGAACTTGTCGATTTCGAGAAAGCAATGATTTCATCAGATCATGCGAAGATTCGCATGATCTTAATTCCGCCAGAGTTAATTATAAAACAATGCGGAAGAACAAACACATATTTACGCGAGCAACATAACATAAAAGTGAAATCCATAAGAATTTAATATATTTACGTAAAATAAATCTTTTCTATCTCCATAGAGCAGTATAACGAGTTTAGTATTTAAATGTAATCGCCAAGTAAAACAGTACTTAAATCTAATTTCTTGAGATATTATTTAAATGCACATACTGGTAAAAATTTATACAGTAAATAATAACGTTAATTATCGTCGTTGTCGTTAAGTGATCGCCTTGTGCGTCCTCACGTTGCAAATTAGAGATTACTCACTTTTAAACTGCTGCAGAGCGATCGTGGATTTCATGGCTGTGACCCAATTTTTCTCGCTTTATAGGTTTTTTCTCCGTCACCTTGACTTCTGAAATGAAAACAGAACCATCCGGTTATTAAGTAAATCGGCAATATACTTAATGAGTCAAGGTAAATGATATATAAATTACATGCAAGGTGACTGTCAGACTGATTGAATATTATGCACTTGTGTGACGCTGTCGTCAAATCTTTCTGTACTCTTTTCTTTATTAAGGCCAGTACCTTAAAAAGTAATCGTGAGAGAGAAACGAGAGATATACGTTAATCTCCCAATTGTCCTCTTGCCTACCAGATTTGTTTTATTTGTTTAGTTTCATCAATTTTATTATTTTTTAAATTAAGTATTAGAAGAATTAGAAAGACACGGATCGTAAATACGAATTCTCTTCCTACTCACTCTTCCTTCGCATATCATTATATGGTACTGCATCATTTATTAGTGATTCATTTATTCATTCATATGAATTAATTTTACAGATAGCTCTCAATCAAGTTTTGAATGATCCAATTTAGCTTATCGCGATCGCACGCGCGAATATGACTGCGCGGTACCGTTTATTTTTGCCGGTCTAAGTAAATTTAAGCGACATTCACCGTGAGTTTGTCGATGCTATTAGCACCTTACACGTATTTGCATGGCGGTCACAGCTATTTCCTTCTCAGTAAAGTCCACGGACGCTTTTCTCCGATATTTTCCTTGTCTAGCGTATTGACTCACGAGACAAACATGTGAAGACTATCGCGTATCACAAAACGAATCACGAAGATATGGAAATAACGATGTCAATATCATCTCGGTCATTTCAATTCACACCCGCGCTTTTCCGCTTCTTATTGCAGCATATAAAACACGTGTTTGCAGTTAACTAATATATACCGCCTGATTTACCGTAACAATTATTTCGTTTAATCGCAATACAAGCAACATCTATCCGCGCGTATTTTAAATTTTAGAAAGAAATAATTTTCGAAATATATGCATCTGAGTAACGGAAGATATATCATTACACAGTTTATTTCTCAATTTAAAATACGCTGACCCAAAATGATAATGACAATATCCTAGAACGAGGATTCACGATAATTAGTTCAAACAAAGCGAATCATATGCCTTTACAATATAAACTTTCAATAGAAAAATAATTATCACTGTAAAACGGATACAACGCAATTCACTTAATCGAATTGCTACCACGAAGTATGTGTTATTTTCCTTCTTCGTAGTATCGGACAGCCATTCATTATAAGTTGTAAAACTTATCATCTATAAAATAAAGACATGAATAAACGTCATTCATGCACGCATTTTATATGTAATAGTGGCTCGAAAACAAAGTGGAATCATTAATTTACGGTTATCTGTTCACGCTTAAGTTCGCTATCAACAATTGAGTCTTATACTCGCATGCGTATCGGCTATTAAAAACATTATTATAATATCAAACTTAGAAATATAATCTTGTTAATAAATTCTTTCATCGCATTACACGCCGAATGACAAAATGGAATTTTCCGTATCTTTTCTTCAGTTTCTGATAAAAATTTATTCTTCGTAGCTTAAATTTATATTATTAAATTTATATATATAACTTTAAAAATTAACTATCAAATTTACATTATATATAACTTTTATCGCTTATATTAGTCTTTTTTTCTTATTTTTCTTAGACAATCGATTGACAATACTAATTATTAATTATTACTATATTAATTATTAATTACGCATTACTAATTGTCAAGAGCAGAAGCTTCAGTCAAATGACGATGATCGAATCGCATAAATCTCTCATATTATTTGTCGGCAAACAAATACAGCATAATAGTAGATTTCGCCGCACGTGCATAGAAATGTTCCGAATCGTTCTGTATTATTTCGATCACGAGCTAACAGTTTGCTGTCAAACGAACTTTAGTGATTCATCATTTCTCACTGATATAGTTATTTCGTATCAATTAATTACGCGCCTAACTGTTAAAATACACCTATTATATAAAAGTATTATAGTAAATTTATATGTAAATGTTTATAAACATTACTAACGTTTTCAATTAGTGAACTGCATTATACAAAAATAATCTCTTTACTGAATATTTTATTTTAACTGGATAGGATTATTCAAAATTACTAAATGTGATAAATTATATCAATGCTTGTTGAGGTGATATTCTCTATAGAATTACGAAGAATATAGGCGGCAGTGTGCTTAGTGGTAGAGTGCCAGACTCGTAATCTGAGGAACCAGGTTCGAGTTCACTAGAGCCATGGAAGTTTTTTCCGAAAGCTGCGCCCTCCGTGCAAGATTAGGGCTTTTGTGCGGAGCAAACTGGGCTCCGTCTTTCGGAAAGAGACGTTAAGCCGTTGATCCAAAAGGTTAAGTGCAATATATTCTTCGTAATAAAAGAATAAACTTTATACAAGGGAAAGTAATGATTCTCAACTCTCACTTTTCTCTTGTATAAAGTTTGATAGTAATTTTTTTTACCTTTATTCTTTTTTTGCGAAGAATATATTGCTTTTTTTAACTCGATAAGCAAGCATATTAAAGTATATCCCCTTTTCCTTTTACATTCAATAAGGCATGTTAAATCGCATTGTATTGTTACTTTACGTTAACTAATTCTTTCGCTATACGCTACGCTTATTTCGTGAACAGATAGTCGAAAAAATAATGAAATTCGGTTCGAAAATTAAAAATTAATGACAAAAGTTATTTGTAATGGGAAATCTGATATCACCACTTCATCAAAAGATAGAAGAAATCATAATACATTTATAAAGATAAAGATCAATGTCATAATTAATTTGTATAATATGTAAATTATATTTTAAATTTCATCAACTGTGACGGCCATTCAATACTAAAATAGAGAGATGTGAAAAGACATGAGATAAAAATATGAATTATGATAATTTCATGCTTTTATACGGTCCACGCAGTATAATTCTATGGTGACCCACAGACGATTATTTTCGTTCAGGTCATTCGATATTCTTGTTTTAAAGAAAGTCATAAAATTATAACACATGATAATACGTAAGAAGTTAATTACACTGAGAAAAAAAAATCGTAGATTCAAAGAAATATTATTTGATTCAACTAAATGCAGCGGTCACGGGCTGTCAAGCAAACATTTGTCAATTCAAAAAATATTATATTTAAATAGATTCAGAACTTCTTGATATTACTCACGTATATTTGATTTAAATATATTAATATTTGCATTAAACAAATCACTACAACTAAACGAGTTTAGTCAAATCTACAACATTTTTTTCTCAGTGTACCACGCAGTTATCATGCTATGATCTCGTGATGATCTGTAGTTTTATTACGAATAAATTTAACTGTCTTATTTTTCAATGAAATATGTCTGTTATATTTTTTTTCTTTTTTGTAATAATACAGAAAGAGTGTCTTACACACATTTATGCTCTTATAAATATTATATTTATATATAACAAACTTGACAACGTATATCACGAAGGGTGCGACAGAGAAAATCAAGTAAAATTGATGCGATGATGGAAAACGTATTGAAATAATCAATTACACCTGTAGGTCTATAAAAATGTAAAAATTATATCAGAAATGATCTAAAATCGAAATTAATAGAATTTACTACATGTTATTATGAGAATATTTAACCATATCAAATTCTTTGTCATTTACTTTGAAATAAATCTGATTAAACTAATAATTTATAAATAGTTTTATAATAAATAGTTCTATATTATTTCAATGCATGATTAGCGTTTAATAAATGTCTCTTATAACGAATCTTTTATCGCGTTTATTTACATTTCATTATAAAGTCGCCTTGAGTCTGATATTTTATCTGCTGTCTAGATTATTAGAGAAGTTATACCGAATTTTTATCGAATTTTTATCATTTAAGTGACATTGCCAATCTCATATTATAGGCCAGTCTCATAGGGCATCGAGCGTATGTACAGTTTCGTATACTTTCCGCTACTTAAGCTCATTTTCATATATTGAGTAGCGAGAACCAACGATTGCATTCCGCACACGATTTATATCTGAAGACAATGCTGCGACGAGAACATCATAATATTATACACGCGCGATTAGAAGAGTACGATATACGTGTAATTCATAGGTGGTGCGAGACGAGATTATGCGCTTACTTGAGGAACGAAATAGGTACTGTAACACCTCTATCTATCTCGATGAAAGTAGATTGGATTCGCGCTTTCGCACAAAAAGAGTGCAAAGAATAAAAAAAAAAATACATGCCGCACCGTAAGTGCGGTAATATCTATGTTGCCGAGATTCATTACTAATTATATAATTCTCCGCGAGCTCCCCTGCTAATATGAAAGTATGAATCGGGTAAGCGATAAGAGTCGCGGGTAAAGTACACGCGTATTTATATATCTTTTTAATATGATAATAACGATTGCTCTAAATAACTAATACGACAATTTTATAATTCTATAAGCTTATCCCAAAAATCGTTCGGATATATTACAAGTTACAAGTTATTTTGGCAATGTAATTAGAAATTGTTACATGCTATCATTTGGTGGGACTGATAAGAACATTCGAGACGAAGTTTAGTGTTTATCCAATAAGACCAAAACGAATGAAACGTTTTATCGCATATAGCAAATATTCAACTCTAGCAACGTCAGTAGGGTCACGGTCGTTGGAAAGAAACTGGTCATTGAACTTATTTTTCACGAAAATAATACGCAATTCTTATATGCCGGCTTGAGATCTTTAGATCTTTGCGCTCTCACGAAACTAATCTACAAATATATAATCTATAAATATAAATATAACTGTTTTATTTTTATTATTTTTCCCATTATTTTTATTAAGTTTAATTAAATTTTAATTACGAATAAAAAAGGGAGAGAAAATATGTATTATAAATATCTAAAATTATCAGTTTCTGGTTAACGCAACGCCTATTATACTTTGTAATATTTCCACACGACGACAAAGTGATGCACCTGTAGTCCGCTGCAGGGGATGCGCCAAGCCGAGCGAGACTCCGGCAGACGGTCTGCGCGTCGACGAGACGTCGCGTCGCGTTCGCACACGTCGAAATCGAAGATCACTTCTCACAAAATTATTCCCGTGTGTCCGCGAAAAAATGAAAAAGAAAAAACTTGAGGAACAAGCGCGACGAGAATCAAAACGAGAAATCTCACCCAACCGTCGAGACGTCGCCACGCCGCGCCGGTCACTTTGAGATTCGAGCGAAAAATTTCGGAGAACGGGAAAACGCGCCGCACACTTCGTCGATATTCTATGCTCCCTCAGCGACTCACAGTCTCCCTCTTTCTCAATCGTATGTTTAGTGCGTACGAGACTTACGTGCGGTCCCCTTTATACCGTCGTTCTCTTGGGAGTAACCCAGACGACCCTCCTCTTCGGTCCGGTACAGCCTCCGGCTGTAGTAATCGTCTGTATCGCGGTGTGATATAATTGTCGTCGTCGAACAACAATTAAGCAAATTTTATTCCATACAAGAAACTAGATTAGAAAATTAGATTTACTTTTTTTGTGAGAAATCTTGAATACATATGCATTCCATTTGATTCTTCAAGTTGCGAGCGATCATAATTAATTGAAGTAATATTATTCTTTGCATTTTTTCTCGGTCAAATATTTCGCATTTTTATCTATCCTTTTCTTAATCAAAAGAATCAATAGAAGAAAGAAATAATAAAAACTGTCCAGATAAATTTAAAATATGATATTAAAAGAACAGTCAAAAACCACATATTCCAATCTGTAAACGAGTGCATTCCTCATTCTTTTTCTTTTTACTATTGTGGAAAATAAAAGAACATTGAAATAATATATGAGGAAAAGTAACAGCTGTAGTGTAAAAAATGTAACTGTCAAAATATAATAAATAATAAAATAATTTAATGCTTCCTATTGTTGCATTATTGTTATACCAAGTTTGCTATCATAGATCCGTAACAACAAAAGGACATTTTTTTATTTGCTGCAAAAATCATAAAGATAAAGCAGTTCTCATCTAACAATAAGATGCGTTTATTACATTGCAAACTAATCTAGCGTTTATTACATTGCAAACATCTAACAATAAGATGCGTTTATTACATTGCAGCTTTTCAAGATTGTCGAATCGGATTTTCTCGGAATTTGAACGAATAGTTGCCCGAGGAATTTCTAATTAAATTACAATTAAAAAGCATCTTTAAATCGTCAATATTTTATACCATGGAAAATGTACTTTTATTAATAAAAATAAAATTTTATTAATTACTCACGCTGTTAAATAATTTTGTTAAAAAAGAGTTAATTTTTCAAACTGGCGAGAAATTGTCATTGAAAAGTAACTTGAAAGATATTGCGGCTGTATAAAATAAAATATAGGGATTTCTTAAAATTTTTCAAGCAAACTGAGTTTTCAAAAATAATGCCAAAGCCATTCCACGATCGCGCGATGATAGCGACACACTAAAATTCCACTTTTTCTCCCTTCCAAATTTCTTAGTAATTTGTTATTCATGATCGGCGGTAATAAAAAAATTACTCCTCGCATTTTATTTTCCTCTTCTAAACAAATCGAGGTTGTATTTTAATTTTTGATTTATCAATCAGACTTTTTAACAAAGCGCGAAAATTTGCATGAATTCATTTTATGTATAAGGATTTTTTCTATAAAGTCACTAACAAGTGAAAAAAACCAATTCATTACTTATTAGAAGAAATAATATGTAGTCAGAATACAAGCCGACAAAACAGTAAACAGATAATCTCACTAATTATTACCATCGAACTCGATTACGACCAGAAATGTGGTACACTCACATGTTGCAATAGTACTTATGTTGAAACAACCGGTGTTTAGTACAGTTTACAGTGAAAATATCAAAACGGACAGTGTAATAAAATTTCTTGTACTTATCCATCCTGAACCGAAAATCTGCAGATCTCTCTGCACTTTTATGATAGATACAAATAAATATTATAGATATAGGTATCAATTTTCCTATAATTATCTATACATAATTTCTGTAATTTATTTAGGTAATATTAGAAATTAATTTAGACCATAAAAAGTCTTATAAAGCTACATACGTTTAAAATTTAAAAGAGGCAAATCTTTTTCTCGTGTTTACATTTAAATATAATTATAACGAACATTAATATTTAATATTTCATTATTTAAATTAATTTTTTAATTTAAAATTTTAACGTTGTGAATAATACATCATTTAAACACTGTAAATTAATTAATTAGTACTCCTGGTATACTTTTTATTGTCAAATGTCTTTCTTATTCATCCAGAAGAATCCACTCACATTTTTATTTAATTTTCTCATTTTTTCCCCTAAGACAACGCCCATGGCTTTTTGGCTACCTGGACATTGCGACATTGTCATATTGTATCAATTATTTCTAAGCATAATTGGCGTTTGAATGGCGTGAAGAATGATTCCGCAAGTAAGTAACCGCGTTCGTTTCGGTGTATTAAG